GCTTCTGTTTATACCGTTCCACGTTCTGTCGGGTTCCAAAATCGCTCTGCACTCCTCGTCGAACCATTCATTCCGTCGACTTCTTTTCACGTACCCGATGGTGCTCTCGGCTGCGTCGGTGATGACTGCTTTTACTGTACTCCAGCAGTCCTCTAGAGGGGGCACATCAAGCTCGCCCTCCTCTGGCAACGCTGCCTCGAGATTCTGCGCGTATGCTAAGGCGACATCCGGTTGCTTCAGTCGCTCTAGGTTGTACCGGGGCGGGCGTCGGTACCGTACATTGTTGATGACGGAAAGTTTTGGGAGCAGTTTGACCATCACCAGGTAGTGGTCAGAGTCAGTGCTGAGTTGCATCACGGTACTGACAGCCTTTAGATTGACAAAAGAGATTCCTATGGTTAACAATCAACACAACTGAGAACCCTCTCTCCGTAAAACTTCTCACCAGTATGACACAACAACCGTGAGATATCGTTGTTTTGCTTTTCTCACTCATTCGCAATATCACTAACATCTGTCATGTGATACCATCATATCACCGACGAAAAATTAACAGACATATAAATTGATCGTCATCTCATTTCGAGCATAAATACGGTTATGACGGTCATTCCTCTTCCAAAATCACGGATAAGGCGATAGCCGTGATGTATCAAGGAAAAAGTCTTATCCTACGTTATACAATCGTATTATAACCATTTTCTCGCGAAACGAAACCTACATTCACAAACCTAAAAACACAATCGGGAAGAGGAGAATTTCCCCTACCTGTTAATTTTGCTGGTTTGCGTTGGTGGACTTCGGTTAGCAACAAAATAGCTTTACAAAATGTAGTTGAGGTTGGTCTTGAATTATTGAACGGTGCATTATAAATACAAATTTTCTTCATTTGAGGTTTCAACAATCAAAGCAACCATTGGTATCCATCAACAAAGAAAACTTCAAATGGTTACTTTGAAGTCCGTAAGGAAACGCAGTGTATTTCAATAAATCTTCGCTAAAATTAACAGCGATTTTTTGACGTTGGATAACGTCTTTCGGCAACATACGGGGGTACAAAATTGAAAACAGTCATTTTGGATGCGTTACGAAAAATTAAAAGATTTTGAACGATAATAACTCAACCGTCTATAGATAGATTTACGAGATAATGGCATCAATCGATTGGAAATATTTCTAGCAATTTGATGAATGTTTCAAAACTATTGATTTCATTCTGTAAACTATTGAAAAATGGTTAAAAGTAAACCATTGTCTTAAGATGGTGAAAATCGATTGATTTTTTATATTCTTATACTTTCTCCAACCGAGACATCAGATGCGAGTATCTGACACCTTTGATATTTTCTGTTCTAATATATAAGCGTCCAACAAGGTCGCCCGTTCCATCATTGTCAAAACCATCAGCCCAACAAAATGGCCCTTTTCAGGGCCACCAAACTTTCGCAAAAGAGTTATTAAGGAATATTCCTAATATATAATATACACAATTAAGTACAACACATAACAGAGTTATCCAACGCCAACCCTGCGGTTGTATCTAGTATACAATCCTTCCAACTTTTTTTTTAAGTTCCAACCTGAATCGGGTATCAAGAGTAAATCTGCTTGTCTTCAAACGTCAGTTTTTTCGTTTGCTTTTAAAACCCAGCTCAGGTTGTGGTCCGCACTGACAAAAAGCTCGGTTTCGCATTAATTTTGTCGAAGGTCCAGCTGTTGGTTCCATGATGGCCTTGCAATTTTTCGGAACAATTCAAAATTTTAAGATTTTTCACTTAACTTTTCGCACGAAACGTAACCACGTTGAAAAGATATTTATTTTGACAGTAAAATTCTCGTGAGCTTGTCAATTGTGAGTTGTGACAGTTTTGAGACGCGTAGGTTAAAGAGAATTGATATTGCCGATGGAACAGTGGCTTTAATTTGCAAGTTAAGATAAATGGATATTTTTCTACATTGCAACGTAACAGACCCACATATTTATTTGTTACAAGTAAAATGAAAATCCAAAGTTTTCTTCAAAACGTTTCGTATGTTCTGAACTTAACAACTTTTAGCAAGAACAAGAAAATGAAGGAGCATTATTCTCACTTCCCACTTATAAATGCCCAACAGAAATCATCAGTGAGTGAATGATGTTCTACTCTCTTCTTCTCATTTAATCTAACTGTCATGGATGGCTTTTATGAAGACGGTATAGTGAGGTAGAGGTGTTTCCAAGTGATATGCTAGTTGACCGTCATTTTTGAGATGTGACGGATGACCGTCAAGGGACAATAACCGTTATGATAATGCACAGCACTGGTCAGAGTCGATGTTAGCGCAACGATAGGTCCTGACGTCGATAATGTCGGAGAAGTGCCCTCCATCAATCAGAACGTGGTCGATTTGCGATTCCGTCTGCTGTGGTGATCTCCAGGTGTAACGATAGGGGGGGGGGGGGGGTGTTGGAAGAAGGTGCTACGTATGATTGGTTAGTATTTGTATCAATATAATAAAATAATTCGAAAAAGATCACTCTGTCAGTTGAAGTTTATTCAAACAATGTTTAATTATTATTTTTGTAAATGAATGTCCGATTGCCTAATCAATTTTGAGTAATTATGAGTTACTTATATTTACTTACTGCAAAAATATTAACTCTGAGTACAGCTGACTTGCCCCTTGACTAGACGAGTGCCATCACGAATAGGAAAATGTGCTATTCTACCATCTTCTTGCCTGCTTTTACAGGCAAGTAAAAACAGGCTAGAAGACCTCGTCAGCACTACTGAACGCAGGGCCAGGATAACTTCGCAGTGATATGGGTATATCGATGACGGACTCGACTGGTTCAGAAGGAACAGAGGCTTCCATTCTACTTATTTGTGTGCGTCCTGGGATAGTTGAGGTACTATTTTCAGCTGCCGTTCCGTTAGTGATGACTGTCTTGGAAAAAAAAGTTGTTGCCTACGGTTGGGGATGGAAGACCTCGTCTCCAAACCCAAACACAGGACCGGAGCGGCTATGAGTCCAGGTTGAAATAGACGCGACTGTGCCGGGGGATGGGAGTCTTCCATGCAGCTTAGTTGCATGCGCTCCGGTGTCCAAATCATTGAATTACCATATCTTGATCCGGAGTAAAATTTGAGTTTTCTGCATCTCCAGCTTGTTCTGAATCGAGAAAAGATATAACAAAAAAATTCCCATTAACACACGTGTATCATCTACGGCTTTGCTTCGAGAAGCAGCTTGCCAACAATTTGCTCGTTTCCTTCTACCACCCTGAGTGAGCTGTGTCGCACGGGCTGCTTGTCATGAAAAAGAATGAAGAAGATTATATCATTATTGCTTTCCACTTCTGACATAGCGATATCATTCGGTTCGTTGATCGCTTGTCATTTTGTCATTTGGAAATATTTTTGAATCCTTGATCACCACTCTTTAAATTTGTTTAAAATGCGTTATGTCCGGTTTTCGTTAATTTTTTATAGATAAATATGTGGATTCCGTCATATACGTCATGAAACCTCTGTTGATGTGTTTCATGAAAGAGAAAACTATCAAAGTCGAGCGCTCTTTTGCTCATCCGTTTCACCGAAGCTTGAAAGGAAGACAAATGGAGCGACGGGAGAAAGAGAGACAAGCGATTGAACATTTGTTTGTGCACGCCGACTGAGGTTCTAGAATGCTGCGAAGCTGTTCGACTTTAACAGAAAAAGAAAGCCAGCAGTCTCTTCGTTGCATCGATTTGGTCGATTGAAGCTGATATTGTGACGCCCTGGTTTAAACATGTATTACCAAATATGTACTCCAACTCGTAAATTCGATTGAAAACTGTTATTGCTATTCCCCATCAATTCCTATTCACCGTAGTAACAGGTACTATTTCTCATGTTTCAGGGTATTCCAACCCTGTCACAAACGTTGAGATAACTTCAGTATCTCGATAAGAGTGTACGGCAACCTATCTACTCACCACTCTGCAACAGGAAGATCGATCATCGAATAGTACAATTCATCTGACCTCAAGCTTCTGTCACGTAAGGACAAGACAGCAATGTAATTTGAATGTAAATATAGAATAACAATATAAATTCAATAATAAACAAAACATGAACTTTTCTTTGTGAGCACAAAAAATTCGTTACCAAACATTATTAAGTTAACAAAATGTTTGTTAATACAACTAACCTACCATTGTCAGCTCAACCAAACATTATAATTGATTTAAGAAAAATGATTGTGGACACAACCAAAAAAAGATTGTTGTAATGACAATCATATATAGGGGAGGTGATAACTATCACGATTGAAGAATCAATAAATATACCGGGTTGAAATCAGATAACAAACATGTTTGTTGATTTTGACCCAAGATTTTGTTGAACGTGCAATCTATTTTTCTGCGTGATTAATTTGTCGATTACGTTCAATGTAGAAATTTCATTCTTCGTGCCATTTTTGGCCCCAAATTACGCAATTTTTAGGAACACAAAACTCGTCATCCAGAAACCGTGCAGATAATCAAATTTCACTTGAAACCTGCTTCTCTGAGGCAAACACTGAGTAGCATGTCCAGATTCGTTCATTAAGTAGATCGTCAGTTGTTTTCCGGAGAAAAGCTGAGGTAATGAAAGTGGCATAGCAAGGGCCTTCAAATACCGCACCATAAATTATTAAGATCGTAAAAACGACTGCTCCAAATTTTCGTTTCAATATGCAGTAAACATTATCATTCATTAATCAAAATACAACAAAAGACACATTGTAGTATTTCCGCGATAACGGATGAACTGCTTCGTAATAAAAACCTCAACCGGTATCGCTGTCTAATAAGCAATTAAACACTTAATAGTTCCCGGCTAGATTGCATTTCCATTTGCACAGCCAGATAAAGCAAACCGCAACCAATTACATTTTCCCTCCCTAGAAGCCTACAAGTGTCATTTACAAATTATTCGCTTTAACTAAACCATTTCCACCCTCGCTCTCTCCCTCTCACTCTCTCACCGCCACAGGGACGCCATTATCATTTCCTGGCTCGATACGTTCACATCCATCATTGCCGGGTGCATTGTGTTTGGCGTGATTGGCAACCTGGCGCACGTTACCGAACAGGATGACATCCAGCAGGTCGTCAAGAGTGGTGCCGGGCTTACGTTCATGACCTATCCGGATGCGATCGCCAAGTTTGACTGGCTGCCGCAGCTCTTCTCCGCCCTGTTCTTCCTGATGTTGTTCATCGTCGGGCTGGGTAGTAATTTGGGTGTGACGACCAGCATCGTAACGGCGATAAGGGATCAGTGTCCCGGGTTGAAGAACTGGCAGGTTGTGTCGGTGGTGGCGGTGGCAGGATTCTCGTTCGGATTGATGTACCTGACACCCGGTGGGTTGGATTTGCTGGACATATTGGACTACTATGGAGCCAAGTACGTGACGCTGACGTTTGCTGTCTTTGAACTGATTACTCTGGCTTGGATCTACGGTGTGGATCGCATCTGTCGGGATATCAAGTTCATGCTGAATATCGACACGAGCCTATTCTGGAGAATCTGCTGGGGAGTGGTGACCCCATTGGTAACCATCGTCATTCTGTTGCTCAGTTTCGTCGATTACCAAGCATTCTCGGTTCCAAGTGGATACAACGGTAAGTGCACACTCGATCGAGTGCTTTGTCAGTTTCAATAACTTTCGTTCTTTTTCCATTGTCGTAAGTACTGGGCTGGTTGATCTACGTCATTGCTGTGCTGCAGCTGCCCGGTTGGGCCCTGTATGCCACTGCACGACTCAGTTCGAAAACGATCGATTCGTGGTGGGGATCGTTGAAGAAATCGTTCCGCCCACTGCCCGAGTGGGGCCCAGAACAGGTACCGACGCGGCTTCGCTACCGGGAAGAGGTGGAACAGTACGACGCAACGGTGCCAAGAGATCGAAATGTCACTGACTTGATCAAGCGGAAGCTGCTGAGCTGATCGAGTGTGGGCTTTGTTCGAACAGGTAGCCGCAACTGTAGCTGAGATTGTTGTTTAAGGATGCGCTTTATGTCGTGTGCACAAGATTCTGTGAAAGTGAAAGAGGCAATCAATTAGATTAACAACTTAAAGTGATCACCAGTGTAATGAGATTGATATTTTAGAATGATTTGGAGCATTTACACCTGATTTATTATGATGTAAAGTAAATAAATAGAATAAAGTGCGTAATATATACTGGTGACCTCTGCCCCTTCTTACTAATTTAAAAATGTCTTAAATGCTCAAATTTGCGTTCAGGGAAGAGTAGTAAGGCAATTTCCGAATGCTACCAATGGCAAAGTATAATTAGCTGTTATGTGTCTTGATTTTCTCCTCCGCTTTGCTATGCCAACCAATGCATGAATTTGTTAGTTATGTGGTAAGTGCAATACTACTCTATGTCCAAGGGTGCTGATTTTCTAGACCGGACCGGGAATAAAACCCGCCTCCTTCAGGGCACCCTGGAGACATTCGGGTCAGTGATGTCATGGTATCCCAGCCAACAATTTTGTTCACATAACTGAATTGTTACTGTGCTATGTGAATTATTATTCGGTAAAATTAAATCGCATAAAGTGCATAGAATTCAACTATACGTACAAATCTGGAGGCCATATAAGTGCATGTGGAAAAATACTCGTACATTGTATGATGTCATATGATTCAATAGAGTACTTTATACAACTTCATGTATAATTTTATCTTGCATCTAATATGATTTTGCATATGCCAATATCGTATTTAATATGTTATTGGCACGACTTTCAAATTGCATCTCCAAAATTATGGCAGACCAAAAAGCAAAAAGCATGCAAAAATACCTTTTAAATGAACCTTCAATTTTCTATAGTTGGTGGTGCCTGGTGATATTGGTTTGAATATAAGTTGGGAATCGAAATATAATGAGTTATCTTTTGAAATGATGAACATATTTAAAGCTTAAAGTCAATATTACCTGCAATACCTAGTTTAGAATCAAAGATCTATAGCTCCGTAGTCCTGCTGCGATCCTCGCTGGCATATGAGCACGTATATTTGGAGCAATAAATTTCAAATTATGATGCCTCGCTTGTATACGTGATTAAATCTAACTCGATCTGTTGTATTATATGATATCATTCCTCCTCTAGCTGAAACGGCTTATATCAGTGCAGATTGCATTATACAATCTCGTTCTGCATGATATATGACTTATTATCTTATATAATTTCAACTGTTCATTAATGTGATTCGTAATGAACTATTTTAATTTGCAACAAACATGGTTCCCTGGCGGAACTACCAGCAGAACTAGAACGGTCGTCTGCTAATGAGCCAACATTCATCTCACCGTTGGGCAACCCATCGACGCTAGACCTTCTTTCTTCTTCTTCGCTTTTCAAGCTTATTGCATATCGCAAATTAGCTTATTGCGTGTTCTCAACTTAGTGTTCTAGATGCACTTCCACAGTTATTAATTGAGAGCTTTCGATGCCTGTACCATTTTTGCATTGGTATAATTGTGTGGCAAGTCCAATCATACTTCTATGCCCAGGGAAGTCGAGAAATTTTCCAACCCGAAAAATTCCTAAACCGGACCGGGAATTGAACCCAGCCACCTCCAGCATGGTCTTGCTTTGTAGCTGCGCCTTTGCCGACTGAGCTAAGGGAGACCTGTTCCTGACAAATATCGGCTTGTCCAAGCCGGTAGCCTTGAACGAACTCAGCTCCGACCACCAACCGGTGGTGGCTGAACTGGGCCCCTGCTCCAAGTCTGCACAAGGACTACCACCGCGTAAACTGGGCCCAGTTTGGACGCGTGGTAGACAGACACATCATTGACAACCCGCCGCTTAACACCGTGGAGGACACCGACCGAGCGTTGGAGGGACTCCTCCAAGCCATAACCGTAACTGACGAGGAGTGCGTCCGACGAGTTCCTGTGAGGGGTAAATTAATTGCCATTGATTCCCACACCCAACTCTAGATTCGCCTGAGAAATGTTCGTAGACGCCAGTTTCAGAGAACTGGAGATCTGCACGAAAAACGTGAAATGGCCGATCTGAACAGGCAGATTGCTTCCAGAATGGACTCACTCCGAAATGAAAGTTTCGGGCGTGTTGTCCAGAATCTAGACGACCGCTCCAGACCATTCTGAAAGGTAGTAAAGGTCCTGAAAACTCATCCCAAACCCATTCCACCTCTCAGAGTCGAAAATGATGACGATCGGCTTTTAATCACCCCACAGGAGAAAGCTTATGCGATTGGCGAGCATGTCGCTGCATCGCATTTCGTTGGCTCGACTATCCAAAGTCCGCTCGAAGATCAGGTTGCACAATGCGTTCAAAACCTAGATGCCTCCCCTTGTGTCTTGCCTCCGGTGGATATGATTACAGTACAACAGATTTGCTCAGCTTTGAAATGCACCAAGAACAAGAAGGCACCCGGTTTTGACGGTATATTCAACTTGATCTTGAAGATACTCAGCATCAAAGTGCAGTCTCTTCTAACCGCTATCTTCAACAGGTGCTTGAAACTGCATTACTTTCCAAGCATCTGCAAAGTAGCAAAAATCATACCAATCCGCAAACCCGGAAAGGATCCAACATTGCCTTCAAGCTACAGACCAATCAGTCTCCTTTCAGCGCTGAGCAAATTGTTTGAGAAACTCATTCTCAATCGTTTGCTCAAATTTGTCGAGGAAGATAACATTCTCCTACCGGAACAGTTTGGGTTCAGAAAGGGGCATTCCACCAATCACCAGCTAGTACGGGTGATGAATAACATCCGAAGTAACAAAGCTGTATCCAAGTCTACAGCCAAGGCATTGTTAGACGTTGAGAAAGTGTTTTACAATGTCTGGTACGATTGGCTTGTATCGAAGACACCATATCAAGAAGACTGGCAACTTTGCTAGAATCCAAGCGATAGATACAATAGCGCTGCACTTGAGTGAAGGTGGAAGCAACGCATAGACAAATGAGCAAATACACAAACCTTTCTTCTGAGGATGTAATCTTTCTATCAAATTCATTCGAAGCATTTACTTTTGAGCGGCAGATAACGTGATTGTACCTGTCTCATAGGGTTCGTATGAAAAAATGGAAGAGTTGCCAGTCTTCTTGATTTGTTGTCTTCGCTTGTATGCAAGCTTTGTAACTTCAACTTTCCTTTACATCTGTAAGTGCTAGTGTCTTTGTTTCGAGTATTTTTTAGATTATCGTTGTTTTTTGTTTAGTTCCGTAATAGTGTAAAAAATGGCAGGTAATGTTCGTGAGTGTTGTGCAGTTTTCTCCGTTGTCAAACTCCCTAGTAGGCAGAGGTAGGACAGCTTACTGTAGAACGCAACAATCCACCCCACCGAGAATTACAAAAACCCGCCACCAGATGGACAAACAACTGCCTGTTGGGAGGCCATGGGGGGTGGCGATAGAGATGGCCATTTTGAATGGACGATAACGGGCACGACAAACTGGCGATGAACGACGAATGGCCCGGGTCACTGGCCGACAGCCTGGAGCAGTGACCCAATGACTCACTCAACTCTGAAATTAATAATGACTGATCGTAAGACCACCAGCGAAAACGGTTTATCAAGAAAGCAAGCCAGCTAAATTGACGCAAGTAAGAGTGGAAACAGTGAAAAAGTGTGAGGAGAGAGTCAAGGACAGCAGGACCCCGCTGTATTTAGTACAAATCACCTGTACGCAGTGAAGTTCCGGTAGACGTACCGGAAGGTTACACCGTCATTGCTTGCCGGCCGAGTTCGTCACCAACTCACAGGCCCAGGAAGAGTAACCTGGTGCTCGTCATCGCCACCCCGTACAGCAAGCGCGCGAACGAGATACACGACGAGAAAGTGGAGAGGAAGCGGACGTCGACCGAGGACAAGCGGTCGACAATCGAAGACACATAGTGGAGGTGTTGCGAGGGGCCCCGACGAAGAAACCAGGTCAGATAGATTGTAAGAAAGTGGGAGAATAAGGTAGTAAAGAGGGAGAATAAAAGTTCAGGAAAGTGCAATAAATGTCTATTCTTGAGTAGTGAAGTGCTTGTGGAGTTTTTTTCTGTGTGTCACGTGCGATCATTACCTGTCCGCGTAATTGCAATCGGTAAGCGTGCCGACCCTGAGGCCATTGGAGTCAGGGAGTCTCGAAAGTGCTCCTGACGGAGGTGGCTGACACCAGTGATGGAATTATCATCAAAATATCATTTTCGCTTGCGATACGTTTTCTCTTGGGAACTTTCCCTCACTAGTTTCACACTCCAATATTTCCTGAGCGAACTTTCTGGGATGAGAGAATGAGATATCGCGAACTTTTTTAACTCGAATCACCAACGTGAGGATACGAAAAATATCAGATCATTTTTTCTCTCTATCTCTTTACACCACATTCGTTCTTGAAAATTGCACTGCACATTTCACAAGGGAAAGATTATAGACAGAAAGCTATCCCGAGTAAATCAATACAATCTCTAAAGACTGATAAGTCTGGTACCTGGCTGTCTACTGGCGCCTGTTGTTTAAAGTAGCCGTTATCAGGATGATGTGAACAGTTTTGTGCAACTGATTGATTGGTGCATTGGTTTCTGGCAAAAAATGAATGAATCAGCACAAGTGTCAACGCGACATTAACGAGGAACGGGGAGGGTAGTGTAAGATTTTGTGACTAGCAATTTTTATATTAAAACCGTTCCTCAGGATAGGGGGTTGCGGAAGGAGGAGTGCCTAATGTATCCTCATTTTCACGAAATACAGTTAATGCATGGCTCCTCTCATCACTAGTGTTCGTAATATCGTTCCTGTAAGCTCTTATGCAATAATTATATGCAGGGGGATGGTTGGGAATATAGGTGGTGGTGAACTTTTTCACTGTGCTGCTATTACTGTCCTCTCCCATGACTGGGAATCCTGTAAAACAATGTAAAACTAGAAAGGGTCTAGACCCCCCCCCCCCCTTTCTATGTAAAACCATAAGGTATGCGGGACTGCTGCACTGCTGAACTTCAAAACGCTTTATTTGCTGACCAAGGATCTGACAAAAACATCTTTTTAGTGTGCAATTTAGGATGATAAAAAATTTAAACAGGTTATTCAATGTCCATTAAAACTGTAAAAATATAGGCAGAAAAAAAGGAAAACAAAACATTATTACCAGTTGGCTGGAAATGAACACAAAATTAATCAAATTACCATGTA